ATTTGGGGGACATTTGGGGACACAGAGGTGGCAAAGGTGACACCAAGGTGACAAAAGTGACACAAGGGACACACGGGGGTGACACAGAGGTGACACAGGTGACAAAAATGACACAGAGATGACACAAAGGTGACACAGGTGACACAGACGGGGGTGTCCCAATACCTGAGGTGGCCGCAGGTGACACAGAGGTGACACAAAGGTGACACAGAGATGACACAGAGGTGGCACAGAGGTGACAAAGGTGACAAAGGTGACAAAAATGACACACAGGTGACACAGAGGTGACACAAACGGGGGTGTCCCGTTACCTGAGGTGGCCGCAGGTGACACAGGTGACACCCGGGTTTGGGGGTCCCGGCGCCGCTCCAGGGGGTCCCGGCGATGTCACCGCATCCCGGGGACAGCGATGTCACCGAGGGGGGAGGGGACACCGGGACGGGGGGAGGGGCTCGAGATCGGGGTCCTTGACCCCAATTTTGGGGTTTCTGACCCAAATTTTGGGGTTTCTGACCCAAATTTTGGGGTCTCTCAGCCCGAATTTGGGGTCCTGGGGCTGAATTTGGGGTTCTTGACCCGAATTTTGGGGTCTTGACCCAGATTTTGGGTCTCAAATCCCCAATTTGGGGTCTCAAATCCCAATTTTGGGTCTCAAATCCCAATTTTGGGTCTCAAATCCTCAATTTTGGGGTCTAAAATCCCCAATTTTGGGTCTCAAATCCCAATTTTGGGTCTAAAATCCCAATTTTGGGGTCTCAAATCCCAATTTTGGGTCTCAAATCCCCAATTTTGGGTCTCAAATCCCCAATTTTGGGGTCTCAAATCCTCAATTTTGGGTCTCAAATCCCCAATTTTGGGGTCTCAAATCCCCAATTTTGAGGTCTCAAATCCCCATTTTGGGGTCTCAAATCCTCAATTTTGGGGTCTCAAATCCCAATTTTGGGTCTCAAATCCTCAATTTTGGGTCTCAAATCCCAATTTTGGGTCTCAAATCCCAATTTTGGGTCTAAAATCCCAATTTTGGAGTCTCAAATCCCAATTTTGGGTCTCAAATCCCAATTTTGGGGTCTCAAATCCCCAATTTTAGGGTCTCAAATCCCAATTTTGGGTCTCAAATCCCCAATTTTGGGTCTCAAATCCCAATTTTGGGTCTCAAATCCCCAATTTTGGGTCTCAAATCCCCAATTTTGGGGTCTCTGACCCAAATTTTGGGGTTTTTAAGTCCAAATTTTGGGGTCCCTCAGCCCGAATTTGGGGTCCCGGTGCCCAATTTTGGGGTCTCTGAGTTGAATTTTGGGTCTCAAAGTCCAAATTTAGGGTCTCAAAGTCCAAATTTTGGGGTTTTTTGGGGGGTCCCGGCAGCTCCGGCTCCGTCTGGGGATCGTGGAGTGGAGGGGGCGTGGCCTGGGATAGCCCCGCCCCCTTTAAACCCCGCCCCTTCTTTAAACCCCGCCCCTTTTCCCAACCCCCACTCCCTCCCCTCATTAACACTCTTTATCCCATTAATTCTGATTAATTAAATATTTTTGGACTCCCATTAACTCTTTTTACCCCATTAATTTTATTTAATTAAATATTTTTGGGCCCTCATTACCGATCTTTACCCCAGGGGAAAATTCTAATTAATTAAATATTTTTGGCTCTTATTAACACTCTTTATTCCCATTAATTTTAATCAATTAAATATTCTCGAACTTTCATTAATGCTCTTTACCCCATTAATCCTAATTAATTAAGTATTTTTGGCCCCTCATTAACGCTCTTTATTCCCATTAATTTTAATCAATTAAATATTTCTGGACCCACATTAATGCTCTTCACCCCATTATTTCTAATTAATTAAATATTTTGAGCCTTCATTAACGCTTTTTACCCCATTAATTCCAATTAATTAAATATTTTTGGATCCTCATTAACACTCTTTATTCCCATTAATTCTAATTAATTAAATATTTCTGGCCCCTCATTAACGCTCTTCACCCCCTTAATTCTAATCAATTAAATATTCTTGGGCCCTCATTACCGATCTTTACCCCATCAATTTTAATTAATTATTTTTGGACCATCATTAACTCTTTTTACCCCATTAATTCTAATTAATTAAATATTTTTGGACCCTCATTAACACTCTTTACCCCATCAATTCTAATTAATTAAATATTTTTGAACCCTCATTAACGCTATTTACCCCATTAATTCTAATTAATTAAATATTTTGAGCCTTCATTAACGCTTTTTGTCCCATTAATTTTAATCAATTAAATATTTCTGGCCCCTCATTACCGATCTTTACCCCATCAATTCTAATCAATTAACTATCTTTGGACCCTCATTAATGATCTTTACCTCATTAATTCCAATTAATTAAATATTTTTTGCCCCTCATTAAAGCTTTTTACCCCATTAATTCTAATCAATTAAATACTTTTGGGCTTCCCATTAATTTTAATTAATTAAATATCTTTGAACCCTCATTACCGATCTTTACCCCACCAATTCTAATTAAATAAATATTTTTCGCCCCCCATGAACGCTCTTCACCCCATTAATTATTAATTAATGAACTATTTTTATTAATCCGTGGTTGTCTCCAGGGCGTGCAGGGCGCGCTCCAGCCGGGCCCGCTCCGCTYGCAGCGCCTCCTCCTGGACACCAAGGGTTAATTCACAAACATTAACAACCGGGACAGCGTTAATTAGGGCATGGTGATAATTAGGGCTGGTTAATGAGGGTGAGGTGGTAATTAGGGATTAATTAACCTGGGGTTGGTTCCTGAGGCGCCGCTCGAGGGTCCCGAGACGGGAAAGGAGATGGGAACGGGCGGAGCTGGGATCGACCACGCCCTGGGGGAATTAAAAATGAAAATAAAAATGAAAATAAAAATGAAAATAAAAATAAAAAGAAAATAAAAATGAAAATGAAAATAAAAATAAAAATGAAAAATGAGGGAAAAATGGGGGAAATTGGGGATCCTGAAATGCAACTGGGTGGAGCTGGGATCAACCACGCCCTGGGGGAATAAAAATAAAAATAAAAATGAAAATAAAAATAAAATAAAAATAAAAATAAAAATGGGACCGGGCAGAGCTGGGATCGACCACGCCCTGGGGGAATAAAAATAAAAATAAAAATTAAAATGAAAATAAAAATGAAAATAAAAATAAAAATAAAAATGAAAATGAAAATAAAAATAAAAATGACAATGAAAATAAAAATAAAATAAAATAAAAATGAGGGAAATTGGGGATCTTAAAATGGGACCGGGCGGGGCCGGGATCAACCACGCCCTGGGGGAATAAAAATAAAAATAAAAATTAAAATGAAAATGAAAATGAGGGAAATTTGGGGTCCTGAAATGGAACTGTGGCAAATTGGGGACCAAAAAATGGAACTGAGGGGACTGAAAATGGGAACGGGGCAGGGCCGGGATCCACCACGCCCTGAGGGGAAAATGGGAATAAAAATGGAAAGATGAGGGAAATTGGGGATTCTGAAATGAAAATGAGGGGAATTGGGGATCCCAAAATGGCACCGGGGGACTTTGGGGACCCCAAAAATTCCCCCAGAGATGCCCACTATCCCACAATGCCCCTGGAAACCCCCACTATCCCACAATGCCCCGGGTCTCCCATGTCCCCCACTA